CTCAACCCGTGTCACCGTTTTATTGGTTTAAATGATAGAATGCCCTTCAAGGGCAGTGGGCAGCTACGATGTCTGGGGACGAGCGTCAGCTAACCAATGTCATTAGTGGAAGGGCTGCGGGAGGATATTTGGCCAAAACCCATTTCGAACTTTCACTTATGACCCTGGCAGCAACTGCCATCGTGCTCACTGCCCACAGGTTACGTCACAAAAGTTGCGCATCAACTCAAGCCTTGCTCAAAATGAACTCGCTCTAACTACTGAATCTGGTACTACTGCTATGAACTCCGGGACATAAACATTGCAAATCATCGGTTTTAGAGTTTTCTCACCTCCCGTTGCGGAGTACAAGATTTGAGCCAGGTTTTGGGGGAATGACGCCATTCACTGGTTGATTGTTGGTCATCATCCCAGAGATTGAGTTGAAGCTTTCACTGCAACTCGATATTAGAAATCCTTAAGGTAAAAATAGTGCGTATATTTCACCTTTCCATTTTAATCCTTTGACGCATGTACTTGACAAAGGCGAGTTTTATCAACGAGAGAAAAACGATCATGAAACATACTCCTGTAATGATAAAACATTCGAACGTTGTTACTGTGGTTAATAAGAGCAGAACAAACCAAGATAGATATCCATAGCTTTGATGTAGCTGACACGAGGCATCATTTCGTTGTAGGAGAAGATCAGGAAGGTAATTGCCAAAATAATTGATATCATGTCCTGTAAATATCAGTTGTCTCTTTAGGAGGTAATGAATTCAACTTATAGTTCTTTTTATTTGCTTTTGTTAATCTGGTGTACTACAAAAGAAATGTCCTTTTCTATCGTCTTATGTATCTCGCATGTCGCTCAATATACATTATTCCTTCACAATATTCGGCCGATTCCCTGGGGCAGAAGCGGTGTGGCGGCAAAAGGCGTCACTTAGCGCGCGCGCGATCTAGGAGTCAGGGCCCATCGATGTTGGGGAATCCCCAACAGCGGGGGGGGTCGTAGTTTTTGGTCGTCAGGGAGGAGGGGCGTCGTTATATGGGCGATTAGTTTATTTTGATAGTTGATTTTTCTCGCTTCATGGACGTTGTAAAGGGAGGGGGGGGTCGTACCAACTCTCAAAAAGGGGGGGGGTCGTATAGAGTCGACTAAAATCCCCAACCAATGATGGTGCCTTGCTAGGCGTCCGAGTCGGCGCAGTTTGTCGACGAGGGGGCATTCTTTTTTCATAGATGTGCCAACCCATCTAGGTAGCCTCACCTCGAGTTGACACGTTTGAGGATGGTGGCTAGACTATCTTGCACCAGCTTCACAAGGGTTCACAAGTTTTACCAGGGTGAGATTTGTAAACCGGAACTAGGGAAGCAATGGTAGTACAAAATGCCCCCCCCCCGTCGACAAACAGCGCCGTCGGATGTCGCTCCCGCCCACGTCAAACCAAGCCGTTCTACCTGGTCTGGTAACATGGTGACAGGGGCCGTCTGGAGGCAAAAGACCGATTTTCTGACTGCCAGCGAATCATGTAGGGCATGTGAATTCAAAAAGCCCTCATGATTCAGAATGGAAGTAGTATAGAATGTGTGCTGCATCCAGAAAAGGATGGATAAGTTTTGGAGGCACTATTTTTACCCGTCCTCATGATTCCCAAAAGAGTTCACAGATGAAGCTACAGGTCATTTCGGGCGTCAAACATTGTAGTCAGGTTGGCCCCGGAATACAGTAGACCATCATTCGCAAGTATTGGACATGAGGCCTGCAAACAAGGACGTTGGAGCCAGGCTTTTGCTACCCGATATGCCGTTCATGAGGCCCACTACGGCCGTTATTGAAGCCTGCAATAATTGGTGTGAAGAGCTGCCGTCCTTGTACGCTTCTGACTTATCCCTTCAGCGCCTTCTCGTTTTGCAGGGGACAATGACTTCCAGCTATCATCGGCGCTTTCATTTGCACCATGCCAAACGACTGTTATTGGAATAAGGCTTACGTTTTTGCATGCTGAAATGGTAGTATTATTTTAGCAGGACGGGGGTTAGTGTAGTGGCAGGTGGCATGACTTACGCAATCCACGCGGTTCATCGTTAAGTTTTATTAGTGTTACTTCGATAAAGATGCTTTCCAACAGATGCCCACGGCACCTCGGTCCTTGAGCCCTACATGTGCTACATGCTCATGTTAAGAGTTGAGAATCACTCACTTGAAACTCGGTCTCGCTTTCCATCCATAGTGAGACCCACGATGTGATGACGACCGCGGTTCGAAGGGATAATCAACTGCAGGAAGCAGAACCCGGATGAGCGAGAGAATACGGAAGCACACATAGAGACGAGAGTAGTTTCCTGATTTAGGAACAAGTCAGAGACAGTCACGTAGAGGGTGACATGCAACTCGGTCGTTTAGCCTTGCCTCCGTCTTCAAATGTACTTGGCATTGTAAAGCAACGACCGAACTGCGGAAAAAGGACATTCAGCACGCAAAAAACCAATGCAATTTCATGCATTCCGACGGCAGCACATCTATCTCCATCTAGTCTTTTTCATACCCGACGCTCGAAAGGAACGCCTCGGTGACTAGTTACTTGAAATCTTGTGCATACTCTTGCTTTTTTAACGTTACGAATTGCTTGTCACTGCTCTCTTTCCAGTCCACGCCGATAGAAAGGAAGGAGCCGGTCGCTTAATTGTGGCTTCCTTATTGGCGAAATCGGGCTCCAAGTGCGTAGATGATTCCTCAACGAAAGGAGTAGAGAGTCGCATCACTGAGTTGTCGGGTGATAAGGTAGTATCAGATCAAAGATGCCCCATGTTTCTCTAGTAAATGAGGTTTCCCCAGGGTCTGAAGGCAGATGTATGTAAAAATATAATGGTGGGGAGATGAAATTCAATTTTGAGATGGAAGGAGGTTCTTGAAGCAGGAGGGGATGTACTGTACGACAAGTTTTCCATAGCTCGCTTCTCTTCTCTACCACTTTGAAAAGGATGCATGAGTAAGAAAGCCGAAATGGTAGGCCTGACTCCGCCCACACAATCAGCGTGGACTACGCGGTAGACAAAGCTGATGATCGTGTACTGTTCTATATAAGTTCAAACTTGAGACTTTCAGCATCTAATTGTACTTCCAAATATGGGCGTTCAGAAGTTCGAGCTCATTTTGCTCGTATGACAATCTTACTTCAGGTGAAAAGATGCTGAAGCTTATGGACATCCGCTTCACGCCAAGGACCATGCACAGATTCCAGTGGATATCCCAGGTACAGCTTTACTTTCAAAAACCACGACAAGACTTATAAGTAACTTCCAGTATTTCAGATGATGTTCTTCTTTGGATTCGTCATTTTCTGTTTGTTTTATTTCCTTGTCTACCCGAATCTTCACATCGTCAGCATTGATCCATCCTGTGATAAGGCTCAAGCGGAATGGTTCGCCGAAATCGTTTAAAGGCTGCTCGAAAGTGCAGCACGTCTTCCTGAACCACTTTTCTCTACCATTATTAATCGAACAACTTGCGGGTCGAATTCAGGCCACTCGGCATTTCGCCATAAATCCGACAAAGCTGCCCAAATAGGCAGGGTCAGGTGAGGTGCCGAGAAGCCTGCTCAGAGCTTCCACACGCCGTGTGAAGCACTTTCTCACAATTATTACACCAGTCAATGACTGGCACCTTGCTCCGTTGATCGCATGGAACGCCTTCAATTGTAGGTTATTACATTCGAAGCTATTCATCGGAGGTTTATTCAGTTAGACTAGCCAGAAACTAAGAGCTGGCTGTAAGAACATGTTGCTGCTGCTGTAATTATTGTTGATCAAATAGCCACCCTGTGATATTTTCTACGCTTTATGTTGTACAGATTCATTTGTGCTATCGTCGAAGTCTAATTTTGAAGATTCGATTCTTCCGTTGTGACATTTTCAAGCGGGTCAGGGCAGGTATCCCGAGGGGCAGGGCCTAATCCAAAGTTTACCACGCTTGAAGAATTCGCGAAAAAATGAGAGGACACGTCCCCATCGATTTATACACTTACATCCCCACGCTAGACGCAGAATGGGCGTTTCCTGAAACTTAGTGGTAAAGCGCAGCAAGCGAGTGCTAGTGTCTACTGCAAAAGGACTGATTGGAGCAGAGGTAGAGTGCGAAATGAAGCGGAACCGAGTCTTATGAAGCCTTAATGCGAGGATGATGATCCCATTTCACAGATTAGCAGCTTCTGTCACGCAGCAGTCCATATCCTGGAGATGGAGAGGGTGTGGCCACCGCCCAAACTGAACGTAACGGCGGGGGCTTCTGTGGTTTTGGTAGGATGTTGCCGTTTTCTGGAGGATAGTAATCATGCATTCGCTCAGCGCAAGATAGGCTAACAATTGCCTCAAATGCCATCTCCAGATACTGAACATTGGTCCTGGTATTGTCCTTTTCTGCGCTCCTGCGCTTTTAAAGCCAGTTATCCTTCACTATACGCTCAAGGTGTGACAGACATGTAGACAACTCCCGAACCCCTCCGCGGGTCGTCGTAATCATCCTCCCGTGGTATAAGCCGCAATTATTTACATAACCGCATCATTTGGTGACGTACGCAACGTGCATGCCTGGTTGCCGAAAAATTGCATACAAAGTACATCGAGCAAAAAATGAGATAGAAGGAGAAGAACCCAGATCTAAAGGCAAACTGCACACCCGATTCCGTGGACCCTGGTCCTGGCCATGAGTGAGATGAATGGGATCCGCAACTACAATCGCATGCCATTTTTACGGTCGAAACTTCATGGAAACGGGGCTGGAGTGTACCGACTCCATACTCCCGGCCTAACCAAACGCAGTAGTTTTGGTTGTTCTCTACTGCTGAGTGCGTGTTTTGCTACTGGACCTCGGCTGAAGATTGCGCGCGTGGCGTATAGACGAGACGTCACCTGGGTATTACTGCCCCCACAGCCGCGTTCTCGGGCACTTTCGGCGGAGAAAAATGCATGCTAGTGCGTGCCCATTCACCTCGCTTATGGGAAGGACTGCCCTCGGTGGTAAGTGCACAGTTTGCCTCTAGTGTTGCGGTCTATTCGCAGCGTTCAAAAATAAAGAGCGGCTCATAGACTTGGGCCGATCATACCTACGAGAAAAGAGTAACTTCCGAGTCGTAAAAACGAGGAGGCATCAATTAGATACACTCCATACCCTGGAGATGGAGAGGGCGTGGCTGCGTGTACATCTCGCGAGCATGGTCACAGCAACGTTTTTGATGGCATTATAATTTTTCGGAATAGTTTCAATCATGGAACAGCGTATCCTACACTGTTCAACTGAAATACGCAGCCACGCCCTTCCCATCTCCAAGATATGGAGTGAATAAACAACAGTCTCAATACTGGCGCGACACCTACAAAATATAGCTCGAAAATGTTGCACTTTGCACTTCCGGTGACTTCGATTACGAGTAACGTATCTAGTTTTCCAGCATATTTGATGTACGAGTGTATCATCCTAACCGTATTTCGTTTGATAGCCCATTATTTCCAATAACAGTTGTCTTTTTGGAATGTTTTGATCCAGTGATGATAAAATATTTTCCAAACTGTCTGTTCAAGTGCAACACTCTCGTCAATGAATAATGCCGCCCTTTTCAGAATGCTGCTCACTGCCCCTCATGACAGAATAAAGAGAATGTGTATTTTTCAATAAATATTCAAAAGAATGATTAAAAATAGCTTTGAGCAAAAAAAGCCGTCATGAGATCTAGCAAATCACTGCAAAGCCGAGCTTCAAGGGATACATATGTAGTCGGCGTTGATACCGAGAGCCGTTCGTAATGTCCAATGTAAATCCTGCAGCCGATCGCCATTATCTCGTAAATATCGATGGATCTAAAATCAGTGGATGAATATACTAGTTTTCACATCTAATTATAATCAAACGACTTCAAAAACCGATGCGAGTCAAAAATGAAAGACTTGTCATCTCGGTGATGACTAGTTAAGGGGCACTACTAGAAGTACGGGTAATCACGTCCTCGTTCAGCACAAAATGGGATGAAGGTTGCCTCGGATGGGAAAATCTTACAGAAAACGTATCCTCATCCTGCTCACATGGTATGTACAGCCACATCCTTCCATCGATTAGTGTATTATAACCTTCA